ATGCAAATGTCATTCAAATAGAGACTGGGGAATGACTGGCTACGCTGCAGTATTGCAGAGAAGGGTTACCGTAGACCATAAGCTGAATATAAGCAAAGTGTGCTCTTGCTGCAAAAAAGGCCAACAGTACATTGGGTGGTATAACATGAGTATTATATCAAAGGAAGTGAGAGAAGAGAAGTTATATCAAGAGAAGGATCACAGGAAGTGATTCTTCTGCTCTATTCAGCACTGGTGAGGCCTCACTTGGAGTACTGTGTCCAGTTTTGGGTGCCACATTTCAAGAAGGATGTGGACAGACTGGAAAGAGTATAGAGCAGAGCAGCAAAAATTATTAGGGGCCTGGGAAGCAAGACTTCTGAGGAAAGGCTGAAAGAGCTAAGGTTATTTTGTCTGAAGAAGATAAGACTAAAGGGAAATTTGATAACAGTCTTCAACTACCTGATGGGTAATTATAAAGAGGATGGAGATGGGCTTTTCTCTGTGGCTGAAGGGGACAGGACTAGAAGCAATGGCCTCAGGTTTCAACAGGGGACATTTAGGTTGGACATTTGGAGAAATTTTCTGACTATGGGGGTAGTCAAGCATTGGAATAGGCTACCTAGAGAAGCTGCACAATCTCCATCCTTACAAATTTTCAAGAGCAAGTTGGACAGACATTTGACTGGGATGGTTTAGTCAGGGATAATCCTGCTTTGAGCAGGGGAGTAGAGTAGAGGACTTTGCAATGTTCCTTCCAGCCCTACTTTCCTATGAACAAAAGAGTCATATGTAAAACACAGGAAGGACTCACTGTTCAGTGTGGCTGAGTCCTGGGATAATGTGTCAGATTTGGGGCACTGGGCTTGTTTAGTTAATAAAGCAGAAGACTAAGGAGGGCCTAATAACAGTCTTCCAGTTTCTAAAAACATAGTGTAAAGAGACTGGTGGTCAATTATTCACCATATCCTTTGGGAGAACAACAAGGGATTGACTTTATTTACAGCACAATAAGGCCCCTGAGAAAAACACTTTCTAACTAGCAGGGAAGCAAAGCTCTGAAACAGACTACCAAGGACATTGGTAGAAGCTCCTTAATTGGAGGTTTTTAAGAGCAGGTTAAATAAATATCACTTTACACTTGGACACACAATTACTTTCTTGTGGCCAGAGTTACCAAGAGCTAGAGCAACCTGGATCAGTGACGTTTCCTTTTATTTACCTCTTCCCCAATCTATGGGCTACCTGCAAAATTTATCAAGATTGAATGAATATGTGCCTTCAGATTCTCAATAAAAATGCTAAATAGTTCAGAATAAGAACCAGTCCATGTGGGACCCCACTAAAAATCGATGCCTTTGATTTCTTTTTTTCTAGTCTTGTCACATGTTGTCAGAAAACTTACAAGAGGGTACTTCCACTCCAGCTTTCTCAGAGCACAAGTGTGTTTTGTGTTTCTAGAAGTTACAGCTTTGCAAAATACTTTTTTTTCCCATTTACCAGTATGAGAAAGGGAATTTTGTTCCCAAGCTGTTTATTACCATTGGTTCTTTTATCTATATCACAAACACACACACACACACACACACACACACAGATATATCTATCTATCTATCTATCTATCTATCTATCTATATTTATCTATCTATATATCGATATATATCACTATCTAGTCCATTCCCCTTTCTGATGCAGGATCAATTAAATATACCTAGGCCAACCTTGAGAAATATTTATTTAACCTGCTCTTAAAAACGCCAGTTAAGGAGCTTCCACCAATGTCCTTGGCAGTCTGTTTCAAAGCTTTGCTTCCCTGCTAGTTAGAAAGTCTTTTTCTCAGAAGCCTTATTGTCCTGTAAATAAAGTAAATTCCTTGTTGTTCTCCCAAGGAATATGGTGACTTATATAAATATAAATACATATATATACAGAGTTTGTGTGTGTGTGTATACAAATCAATATATATGTATGTACATAAAATGCAATACTTATATATGAGCAATATGGATGAAAATAATGTATTACATAAAGATAGAAATATTTGGACTTTTCAAGTTAGGAAGAGAAATATAATCTTTTCAAAAAGAGAACATGAAATGCAAAGCTTGGGTTGGGATACCAAATGGAATATGCTAATCTTGTAGAGTTTTCTAATAGTGTAAAACTATTAAGACTGTATTCCATTGGAATGGAAGGACGTTCATAAAGCCCTCGTAATATTTTGAACCCATTCTGTGGGTTGTTAATGTAAGGTTACTATATTTCATCTTTCACCTACAACATGCCGATTTCTGTACATTATATTGATGGCCCTTTCTCCTTCCCTGCTGGGCAGTTAAGATCGTATGACAAAGGCATCAGAAGTGATTTAATAGTACTTGCGGCCTCTTCTGAGCATAAAAAACAAGGGCTGAGTTACCGTCCTGTCTTACACTGAGTGAATTAGTATGTCCCTTGAGGATGTGGTTCTTTTCTGACTGCGGGGGTAGTCAAGCATTAGAACAGGTTACCTAGAGAAGCTGCAGAACCTCCATCCTTGGAAATTTTCAAGAGCAAGTTAGACAGACACTTGACTCTCTTAGGTAAGAGCTAAGGTCAACTGCAAGATAACACAATTGCCAGTACAGTCCTGGCTTCTGAGCAGCCAGTTTTCAGTACCATCTCCTTAAATGTTAAGCAAGCATCTAGGCAGCTGTAATGGACACAGTGGCAACCCCTTGGGTGTAGTCTATTTCCATCACATATAAAATATACTGTAAGTATCTGCCTCATGGCGCACATTTCAGTTCATAAATAATTCTTGTTCATGGCAGGATAATGTACGCACTGCAAATATGCATTCAGAAAGCTGGAGAAGAAACAGTAAAACCACCCTTCCCTCTTTTCTGTCCCTCTAACTGATAAGCATGCAGGTGCATGTGCTTTTATGTATACAGTTTTAATAGTACTTTCCACTGCTTTTCTCTGTGCGCAAACTTTTGCAGCAGCATCCTCTACAGTGACCATCTACTTCTTTGAAATTAGATTTCTGTATTTCTTAATACAGAATATGCCACTCTGTCTTGTATCTAATTTGCCCCTAAATTGCATCTAAATAGGCCCCTGAATCTAAGCTGACTCAGAATAACTCTCTTAGTACTTGAAATTGTTGAAGTGTTATTGACATCCTTGATTGTTTGTGGATTTAATGCTGTAAAGTGTCAATTTTTTAAATATTTAAATGGGAAAAAGAAAAAAAATGTATGCTCTGAACAGAAAATTCCAGTTTCTCATATTCTACTTTTCTTCATCATTTGCTATTGGGGAAAAAAGAAGAAAAAGTAAAAATGGGAGAAAAATCCACAATCCATAGCCCCAAAAGAAAGAATGAAAGTACTTTCTTTCCAAACCCTAAAATGAGATTTTAAAGATTAAATTAAATTAAAAATTTCAATTCTTTAAAAAAAAAAAATTAAAAAAAATCTGAATGAAAATGTTTTTAAGGGAACATTTCCCTTCCCCCCCCC